ATTAAAGGAGAATTGATGAAAGATTTCCAAGGTCTTCAGCCAAGGTATTGCCCTATTTAACACACAGTCTTTCAATTCCTGACTGCTCCTTTCCTTTTCTTGAAAAATTCTGGCATTCCTTTCACCCCAAAGAGTCCAAATCAAGGCAGCACGAGCACATCTCCACATAATTCTCCCTATTTTTGTAGGCCAGTAAAAGGTAGAATGGTTGAACAACATGTGAACTTCTGCTAGTAGACTGCAACTGCTCCTAAACAACGAAAGTAGCCAAGCCCAAAGGTCTGTAGAAAAGGGACAAGATATTAATAGGTGGTAACAATCCTCACTGTGAGCTCTACAGAGGATACACCAATTAGGAGAAATACAGAGGAAAGGTCTTCTCTTTTGTTTATTGGACTTTTTTTTGTTAATATAAGAATTTATTTTTGGGTTTTGGCTCAAGGGGTTGGGTAAGCTTATAGGCCAATTATATGAGAAAGGATTGGGTAAACACAATAGCTATTCACCAAGTTGTGAAACCAATGATAACTTTCCACGCTAGTAATAAAATAGATGGGGCCCCACTCATCTCACATTGGGAGCCATGAATTTATTACTAGCATTGAGTGTTATCTTTGGTTTCATGACCTCCTAAACAGCCATCACGTTCAGCTAATTCCAATACAATTATATACCCTATCAAAAAGCAAAAAACACATTCGCAACTAAGAATATATTTTCATTGTTTTTTTTCCCCCAAAACAATCCATTTTCAAACGAGAGCTAGTTTTGATTAGATTTTGGAATCAGAAACAAAAACAATTCACGTTGTAGAATGCCCCTAAGTTCCTAACCATTAATCGAAGTTGGATTAATCCAACAATCTGGAGAATTCAACAAATGCGAATTTGAATGTATTTGTCACATATCCAATCAATTTCAAATCAAACTCCAAATTTGATGAATCCAATCTGCTTACAACCCTAGGCCCGCACATGTGAGGTTTCAATGCCCAGCTTACTCACCAAAGTTGGGATTCTTCAAAACCTCAAAATTTCTAACTTAGGCTATGTTTGGAAGTAGACTTGTTCATGGGCCGGGTAGCCCGATAGGTTGGCCCGGCTCGACCTAATCTAAGTTGGGGTTGGATAGGATTTTCGGCCCACGAGCTCAGACTTTCTCAAAAAAGCCTGAGATCTACTTGATAATGTATTATATAATAAAAATATATTTTCTATAATAATAATATTTATATATATAATATTTTATCTTTATTATTCTTCTCTTTTTTCAAGTAATAGTGAAATCTTTCATTATTTTTTATTTTTTTAGGTATTGAGGTCTTTTAATATAAACAAAAAACGGTTTTTTTTATTGAATAAAAAAAGAAAAAAAATCTCTTTTCCAATTTTCTGGTTGGGCTAGGGGTTGGGCCTGAGCTTCAGGCTTTATATATGGGTCGGGCTCAGATTCAAGACCTAGGCCCAATGGTCGGGCCAGGCTCGGGCTTAGGCCTAAACATATTTTGTTAATGCAGAGATAAGCCAGACCCAACTTGTGAACAGGTCTATTTGGAAGTCCTTTAAAATAAGCACTTATTCGTTTGAATATAATTATAAATTTTAATTTTTTATATTTTTAAGATATTGAATATTTTATTATAATTATTTTTAAGATATAATTATAATTATTGAATACCTTATTTTTATTAATTATTAAATATTTTATTACTTTTTAAGATATTGTTTTGCTAATTATTAAATATTTTCATTGCATCATGGAATTTATTAGTATTTCAGTATTATTTTTATTTTTAATAGTTTATTTTTAATTTTTAGTTTTTTTGAAAAATTTATTTGTATTAATTATGAAATATTTTATTTTTATTAATTATTAAACATTTTATTAAATTTTCGTATATTATTTTGTTATTTATTAATATTTTTATTATTTATTAATTTATTTTTGTTTTTAAAATTATTATTTTTTAATATTTTTTAAAACTTTATTTTTTTAATTTTTTTATTCATATTAATTAGTAAATAATTTATTATTTATTAATTATTATATACTGTATTACCTTTTAAATATTATTTTTAGAATTATTAAATATTTTTCATTGCTTGATGGAATTTATTCCTATTTTCAATATTATTTTAGTTTTTAGTAATGTATTTTTAATTATTTATTTTGTTATAATTTTATTTCAATGATTTTAATATTTTCTTTTGGTTAATGATTTTTTGAATGATAATGTATGAAACAGTGCTAAATGAATTCAAAATTACCAAATAGTTTATTCTAGGGGCAAAAGAGTGGTTGATTAGTCTTTTCCATTCACCGATGCGATCTCCTGTAGAAAGAGAGTTTTCTTGTATTCAACATGTGGAAAAACAATAGACATAAGTGAATATATATATATATATATATATATATATATATATATATATATATATATAATTATTGGCATATTTCCTAATGTTTCCATGACAAAAGTGAGCGTCAGATAACAAGTCACTTGGGCTGATACAGAGTCACCACCCATCAATCAAAGAAAATGGAGGTGATGGGCCCTTCAAAAATTGGGCATGAAATCATTTTCGTCCAATAGTGACTCCAAACCTAGAGCACCGGTTGAACCAGTCCAAGTAAGACTCAGATGGGGAGAGTGAAGGGGTTAAACACCCCTTTCCTGTTTTAGTAGGTGGGGC